TCTCTGTTGATTGCTTTCTCTGTGATTTTTTTTTTTTGTTAGTTGTTGTGAATTGAAAGTTTATTTATAGTTAAGATCACGAGAGTTTCAACTTACTTAGGAATAGATTTCTTTAAAATTAAAGATTATCCCTATAGTAAATCTAATCTCAAACTGCTTCTGATGAAGCTAGCATCTTAACCCAGATAACATCATTTTAAACTTCCAAATTATCAATTTTTTTTAAAAGATAATCAGATAATTAATGATAAAATCAAGATAAATAGTATAATAATAAAAATAAAATAAATAAGGATAATAAGAATACGAAAAAATAAAATAAAAAGTCTAAAATCTAAAATTCAATAATTGGATTTCAAATAAGGCCAAGTCCAATTGATTTGGGCCTCAATAAAATAAAATATTTACCTCGAGAAATTGCTCATGGTAGAATAAAAACTTAACCTTTATACGAGAAATATTTAAATGTTATCAATTTGACTAATTTTATTTCTTACATCGTCTGAAAATCTGAATCTCTCTCGCGTTGTCTTTCTTCGTGGGTGGCCTCAAAACAATTGTTGATGGCTCAATTTCCCTTCGTTTTCCCTTTTTTTTTTCCCTTTCTTTCTTTTCTTCTTTTTCTCATTTTCAAATTTTTTGGTAATAAATATATTTCACTATCACCACCTACGAGATGGCTTGATCGATGAGTACAAGAAGTAAGCCATCACTATTCTCCTTTGAGACTACCATTGTAGCAACCAAAATCTCTAATCAAGAAAAAGGTAATGCTAATTATAGGGTTTTTATATTACCTTTGTTTTGAGTTGATTTCTAAGTTTTGATTTGTGTAAAATTGTTAGACATATTTGCAGGAGAAAAAGAACAAAATGTAAATTTTCAAAATGCTAAACCATAAACAAGGGCTTTAAATATTGGTAGAGTTGTTCTAAGTTTGATATTTTGTATCAAATTTTTGGGTTTGATATTAGATTTAAAGAAATATTGAATTTCAAAGGTTTGGATTAGTTATGCATTTGATTTTTTTTATAAGATTTAGGGTTGTAAACTGAGGGTAGCCATGATAGTTTTTCCAACTTCAACTACAATTTTGAGTTTCAAACACCTGCCAAATAATTTCTCCTTTAAGAGAATAGGCCTTGATCCAAGCAGTCCAAATTGAGCCATCCTTTGACAATAAAGTCTAAATACATTGGATGATACAAACTTTCTTCAAATTGAAAAGATCTTTAAATATACTTCGGATTTTATGGAATATTTCCCCATCATTTTAGTTCGATTTAATGGTTAGTGAAATATGAAAAGTTTTCTAAATAAAATTGATTTGTTTTTTTTATTCTTTCAAAATTTTATTTTCAAGACATTAGTTAATAAATTATAATTTTATTTCAAAAATTTATTTTCAAATAATTAACTAAATAAAATATGAAAAAATTGGAATTAATACATATAATTTGTATAACTTTTCTTTTCCTACCTATTTTTAATCAAACTCATTAGTTAATAGGATATCAAAAGTTTTTTTGAATAAAATTTATTTCTATTTTTTTAAACGTTGTTTTCAAATCATTAATTAAAAAGTACAAAAAATTCCCATTATTTTCAAATCATTAATTTTACACTTTTTCCTCTCCCTATCATTTATGAAAACAAAAAAAAAAAAAATAGTGATATTTTCATGAACAATTTTTATTTTAAACCAAATGATGACATTGACAATTTTCCTTTCAAAGGTTTGTTTTCAATTTATTAAATAATTCTATAAAAAATTAATAATTAACAAATGAAAACATGAGGAAATTTATAGAAAAATGATTAGCAATTGTTGTGCACCAAAACATTGTAGCAAAAATTGTGTTTGGACTATTTAACTTCAAATCCTTACTTGGAATCAAGAGTTCAATTATATTAAGAAAAGAAACTAACTAATTCTTCTAAAATGAGAAAAATTGACAACTTCCTGAATACAAAAATATAAACAATTATATCATATGTTCTCAGTTGAGTTACTTGTATTTTAGCTACTCACCATTTATTGAATAAAAAATATTGACACCTTCATAGAATAAAGTAACAGGAAAACCATTGGCATGAAGTTAAATAAACTTTGCATAGTTTATTTTCAAAATATGATTCAATAAAACTATGGATTCCAAATAAAAACATATCACTCTAATGTTCCTCCAATAGAAAATAAAAAAAAAAAATCATTGCAAGAAGGATGATTGCATTTCTCAAGAAGAAACACCACACCACTTTTAGCCATGATTTCATGAACTTTCTTAGACATTCCACGCCATTGGAAGGTGAACTTCCAATTCACAAACACACCATAAATCTCTCGCTCAAGCGTTAAGCAATCACAATAAGAGAAGAAACAGCACAATCTAGTCCACCCTGAATTCGTTAGTTACATACTGCAATAAAGTTACAAAACTTGCATCAGTTCCCTTTTTTTCTTTTTTTTTTTGTTTTTGGACAAGAAGCTTGCATTCATATTTTGAAAACCAATTTCCAACAATAATCAAGTGAAAGAAAAAAGATGAACTTCAAGAAGCTTGCACCTACCTCTATTATTATTCTTTTTCATCATACTTGCTAAATTGGTTTGTGAATAATAGAAAAAAAAGCCCATACTGATAGTTGATAAATTAATAACATCATATCACATAAAAATAGGAGACAATAATTTATAAACTTAGATGAGTATGTATAAATGATGATTGACTAATCTAAACATTTCAAAAGCTTAAAATTATAAATCGATAGGAAACTAAATCAATAAAAATTCAATAATGGCTTATGTGATTAATAACATCTATTTTACCAAAGCAAATAATTAATAAATTAACATTCACTTTTAGGTAAAGTCATTTCATGCTTTTATCTTTGAAATTGTTTAATTTCAATAAATATATATATATGTTATATGGTAAATTCGTATATGAATATTATTTTAATTTTGTAAACATTTGTTCAATATTAACAATATTGTAATTAACATCCATGTTAAACAGTAATTAATATAGTTAATTTATTAAAATAAATAAAACATGTTTTGCATATTAAGCAAAAAAAAAAAAAGCTATATATTTCAGTGTTCAACAAACAAAATAAAATAGCTATTTCAGTGTTCAACAAACAAAAGTTATTAAGAGTTTAAACAATAATATTATTGTTATAAGATTAAAACAAAAAATAATAGCTAGTAATGATCATTGATTAACGAAAATTGATTTCTAATTTACTTTTAGGCGCTTTTGAATTTCATTACAATTGAAAATGCATTGGAGTATTTGCTTCCTAATTAAAATGTTCGTTAGTAAGGAAAACGTGTTTATTAATTAATATTAAATGATAGAAATATTATTTTATACATTTTTGTGGAGTTTTAGTAATAACCATTTATATAAAAAATTAAACATCTATATTTGTATAATGTATCCGTGAGTGGATGTGTATTACATTTATCTTTGTTTTGATTTATAATAATTATTCAAAACTTTATTTTTTAGAAAGTTTTAAACTTTGCATTTATAACAATATGCTTAATATTAATATATTCATCTATATTTTCTAGTTATTATTTACAAACATTATGATATTTCTCTATTAATGAAATTTATTATAATTTCCTAGCTAATTAAATTAATAAAAAATTGTTGTGAACATTAGAATAATACAACTATTTTATTTAACAAACACAAATAATTTAAGTACTTGAATGATAAATAATATATTTTCAGAGTCTCTTAAGAAAGTAACCTTGTAAGGAGGGATGGATTGATAAAATAGATTTCTTCTAGAGTAATTTATTTTATTAACTTTTCAAATTTTTTTATTCTTCTAAATTCCTTAATACATTTTTATTATCACCTTCTTAACTAAAGATATTCTTAATAGAAAAATGATGTGTATTAACTAATATCGTATATAACAATATTATATTTTAGAAAAATAAAAAACAATGAAATGTTACATACTAATTATATAATAATTCTAATAATTTTTATTTCACTTAAAATTCATTAATAAGTTATTACCCAAATACCAATTAAAAAATAATTAATTATAAAAAGACATATAATTCCATACTCAATCATAAATCACCTAAAATATATATACACATGTATATACATATATATATTTATAAAAGATACGAACCAATATTTTCATCTAATCCAAATTACTTAAAAATGCAATTATATGAGTCATAATTTTCATACAAGAAAATATATTACTACAAATTGATTATTATGTAAAATTATATACTTATTGTTATTATATCATTGAAATAAAAAAGAGATGTAGCGAAAAAGTATTCCTAATCAATGATTATATTAATAAATACCATAATTAAATAAAAATTAATTTAATTTATTGGCTCTCTTCATGATAATTTATGTTATGGTTAAATATATAGAAACGATAATCTATATATATGTTACGTATCATACATAACATATACAAATTAATTATATGTACTGAGAAATAATATGAATTTAATAAAAAAATAAAAGAAAACACAAATATACAAAATGAGCCTAACTTCCTATATATGTAACCACATATCCAGGTGAAAAAGATATTTATTAATCAAGAAAATCCTTTTTATATGTTTACAACTACCTTGCCTCCTTACTTAGACATAGAAGTTATTGAAATTCACCAGCAATGCAAATCTTATAATTATTTAAACTCTTTAATGATTTAATGCAATTAAAACTCTAGTTTTTACTGTAAAATTTAAAATGTTATTAAGAAAAAATTACTTTAATAAAGAGTTCAAAGTTAATAAATAAATATACAGATAAAAATTCAAAAGTGATGAAAGTACCTTGATTATTGAACCAAAATACATATTATGGTAGTAGTACCCTTAACCTGCAAAAAAATATAAAGCTTAATGGAATACCTTCTTAAAAAAAATTAGATAAATATATTCTATGTACTTTTATATAAGCTTAAACTATATATAATTGCATTTCTTACCATATTTATTCATCCTGCGTAATGTTGTTTAGATATTCTCTTTTGATATTCTTCAGCATGGAGACAACATTCTTCATATCTAATCTATCTTCAGGTAATTCAGCTGAACAATCCAAAGCTATTCTCATAATAGATGATATACAATTTGCCTTAATAACAAAATATTCATCCATTTCTTGCACTAAACTAGAATCTATTACACCAATTATTTCATTAGATAATGAGCTTTTCACCCAATGCTTTATACTCATTTCTCCAACAAAAATTTCATCTGTGGGCTTCTTTCTTGTGAAAGTCTCTATTAATAGAATACCATAGTTATAGACATCACTCTTTGTTGAAATAATTCCCATTGATCCGTATTCTGTATTTTAAATATAATTGAATCATTAAAATGATCTCATGTATTCAGGCATCATTAATCATCAATAAAATGATAAAATATTAACATCTACTCGTCTTGGAATAGAGAAAAAAAAAAAAATCACCTGGCGCCATATAGCCAACAGTAGCTAGTGTCATTGTTTGTTTGGTGGAATCTCCTTCTCCCAATAGCTTGGCAATTCCAAAATCTCCCACGTGTGCAACCATGTCCTCATCCAATAAGACATTACTTGGTTTTAGGTCACAATGGATTATCGGAATCGGATGTCCCAAATGAAGGTATTCTAATGCCGATGCAACATCTATCATTATGTTGATTCTTTGTAGGATATCCAATACATAGTTGTAAGAATATAACCATTTGTCAAGGCTCCCATTAGGCATGAACTCAAGCACTAAGGCTTTGAAATCAATAGTTGAACAACAAGTAATAACCTTGACAAGATTGCGATGAAGGATATTGCTCATCACTTCACATTCAATGTCAAAACTCTTAAATGCTCCATCTATTTGCAAATTGAAAACTTTTATTGCGACTTCTGTTCCATCTGAAAGTATTCCTTTGTATACAGAGCCAAAACTTCCTGAACCAAGTAAGTTATTCCCACTAAATCCACCAGTCCCTTGCAATAGTTGATTATACGAAACTCTTCTCCTTTTCTTGAGAGGAATTAAATCTTCAACCGTTGCCAAATTCATATTCCCCCGCTGCCCTTTTTTGTAGACAATTATGACAGCTACAACTATTATTATTGAAGCAAATGTTGGTAAAACATACCTCAAAGCATGAAGAGCGGTCTTCTTGAATTTTGGATGGATTTTATTTTTGCAAGGTGAGACTTGTAGTCTAGGTGAACCACATAGTGCATAATTTTTCATGAATGATTTGGCTGTGAAGTTCAGAAAAGGCCCTCCACTTGGTATTTCTCCTTCCAATCTATTGAAAGACACATTAAAATAATTGAGATCATAAAGTTTTTCCAAAGACTTGGGAATAACTCCAGAGAGATTGTTGTTAGATAAATCCAAGCTTTTCAAACTCATCAAGTCACCCAATGATTTTGGAATAGGGCCTCGTAATCTATTTCTGGAAAGATTCAAAACTTGTAGATCATGGAGACTTCCAATTGTGGATGGAATATCACTTGATAATAAATTCCTTGACAAATTCAAAGAGATAAGTACCTTTAAATTTCCAATGTCAAGTGGAAGTGAACCGCTAAGATTGTTTGATGACAAGTCTACTTCTAAGATATCTTTAAGGCTCCAAAAACTTAAAGGTATTTGCGAATGCAATTTGTTGGAGAACAAGTATAGATATCTCAGAGAAGTCAAATCACACAAACATGTCGGTAAAAGTCCATCAAGCTCATTTGCACCTAATGATAATTTGAACAATCCCTTCAAACCACAAAGATCATGTGGGATAGAGCCTTGTAACTTATTTCCAGAAAGATTCAAAAGTTGGAGATTTTTTAGCCTTCCTACTGTTGTTGGAATAGGTCCACTCAATTTATTAGAGGAAAGATCTAACAATATAGCGTTGCTTAAGCTACCAATTTCCATGGGAATGCTGCCTCTAATTTTGCAATCAATGACACTAAATTGTTGAAGTGATGTGGAAAGATTTGAGATAGAAGCTGGAAGGATGCCATTCAACGGGTTGAATGATAGGTCTAAAATGCTTAGATACTTGCAATTTGCCAAGGAATTGAGAAAGCTCCACTCATGAGTTGAAGTTTTGGTGGTCAAATGATTCGACCAAAGGAGCAAGTGCTCAAGGAACCTCAAATTGCCAAGTGTCTCTGGAATAAGGCCAAAGAAAGAGTTATTTTGTAATTCTAGGATTCTGAGCTTAGAAACATTGGAGATAGAGCCAGGAATATTTCCACTGAGATTATTGTCCCATAAGTAAAGCTTCTCAAGATTTGAAGCAGAGCTCATGTATGGTAATTTACCTAAAAGGACAAAAAAAAAAGTTTGCATCTTTCCATACAAGAAATAAATTAGTTCTTTTGCTTTGTTGTGTTTTTCATGAATCTATGATGCAATCTGAAGTGAATGCAATGCTTACATCTGCGAATGTGAGGAGAAACATGAAACAATTATAAAAATGAAACAACTTCAAGTTTTTCTTGTTTGATGATCTGGAATATATATATATATATACATATATATAATTTGTAAAATTTTTTCTTATTTTTAATGATTAGAGGGATCCATACTTATGTATAATAAAGTACAGAAGATGAAAAAGAAACGTAAAAGAAAAAAAGAAGATAGAAGAAAGGAAGGGAGAAAAGAAATTATTATAAGGTTTCTAGTATATGCTTAAAATGTTTTCCATTTATGTGAGAATTTTATTTTCTTTAACTTATCTCAATTGCTTTAATGATAAAAAAGATTAAAGAAAATTTGGATGATGAAATTGTTCATGAAAGAAAAAGAAATAAGATAAAAATGAAGAAAATAAAAAAATAAAAGTATATTTACATTAATTTGTTTGAGAAAAGAAAAATCTGAAAGTGTAAATATTTGGAAATAAATTAGAATTTTTATCTATGACATTTTAGGAAAAAAGGCTCAAGAGAAATGATAAAATTTCTTTCATTTTAGACTATATGCATAATATAAGAGAAAAATACAAAGATTCTGTGAAAAGATTGTTAAAAGTACATGTACTCTGTTTAGTTTGAAAATCACTTTCTTACTTCCCTAAGGTTTGATAGAACCTTACGAGTGCTCTACCAGAGGAGGTTCATTTGAGGTTTGTTGGAGTAATACTGTATACATTTTACTACTATAATAAAAATTTAGTAATATGATGACAAAATGTGAAACTAATGAAAAAGATTTTAAAATGATGTTTTTGATTACACAATTATTAGAGGGTGAAAAGCTATTTAGAGGGTAAGTAAAGGTAACTCAAAAAGCTCTACTTGGATGCTATGAAGGCCACACAAGAACATTACCTTGGGAGAAAAATTTTGTTACACTGTTTGTTGATGGAATTTTTCCAGATTGTAGTCTCTTTAATCTCAAGCACCGTTTTGTCAGATGTGGGAGGGTGATTGATTTTTACGTCCCCAAAAATCAAAAGAGAGCCAAGAACGTCTTAGTTGGTTTTGTCCATTAGCTTGATCTACGGGATGCATCGAGGGCTATCAAATTTCTAACTGGTTTGCACCTGAGGTATTCCACTCTACATTTTCAAACGGCAAGGTATGATCAAAGGTCTCAAGTTAATTCTAGTTCTGTCAAATCCACTCAGTTAAAGGATAACATTGTATCAGATGGTCAACAAGAAGAGGTTTTAAAATCGCTTGACATACTTAATTACGTTCCTGAAAATTTAGATTTGGAGAGATTACAACGGAATGCTGTTGGGATGGTTAGATATCCTGATACTATAAATGCCACTAACCAAATCTTGTCGGAGGACTTTGATGATTGTTCTGTCACTATCATGGTTGAGAATATGAATCTTTTGACTTTTGAAAGCAGAGAAAGTATGTTATTATCTCTGGAACTTGGTCAGGAGTGGTCTCAAAATTGGTTCACGTCTATTACTCCATGGAAGCCTAGCTACATATGCCATTCAGACCTTATTTGGTTGAGATTGTCAGGTATTCCACTTCACGCTTAGAATTCCAAGTGTTTCTCTTCCATTGGAAGTTTATGGGGTGAGCTTATTAAGCTGGATGATTTTACACAAACGAAAAAAAATGTTTAGATGTAGATAGAGTCCTGATTTTAACAAATGATTATAGAGCCATTCATGATGAGATTAAGGTCACTGTGGGTGATAATGCTTACTCCATTAAAGTTGTTGAACATGGACACTCTCTTGACAGTTCGACTAGTCCTCACAGATCAGACCAGGACAACTCAGTGTTCATAGATGGCGGTGAAGATGTTTTCTCTCCTCACGGCAAGGACTCCCTGAGTAACTCAAAATTTGAAAATGATGCTGATTTTGTGGCTTTGGATGAAGATAACACTGTTATTGCAACTGTTAATACACCTAGATATTCTAAAGAAGCACATGATGCCGATCTTGGGAATGAGATAAACTTGGAACAAGAGGAGTTAAATGTTGTTTCTGAACATATATCCAATATTTGTTCTTGAAAACAGATCAATTATGGAGCATGCGGAGTTAAATACAGGTGTTGCAATTAATTCTTCTTTAGAACCTCTTTTGAATCCCGATGAAACAGAACAATGAAAGTCTAAATTGAATCATGTGGTTGATGAGTCCAATCTAGAGGATCAAGATATTAATACTTCTACATCTCTTGGGATATCAAATGGCCCATCAGATGCGCTTAGGGATTCTATTGGTGGAAATATCTTAACTGATCTTTAGTCAAATCCAGTTTCTATTAAGCTTATGACCAAGAGTAATATAGACGCTGAGAAACTTTTCGACGTTGAAGATAAATTTCACCTTGTTACTATTCAAGCAGGTAAAAGAAGGAAAAAACGTTAAGGCAAAATATTGGAAAGATCCAAAAGCAAGTCTCGCCAGATAAAGACACCTCTAGTTTCCATTGTTCAAGACCACTTTCGGATGAAGATATTGGTTTTGCAAATAGAGCTTTTCTAGAAGAGGCTGAGAAGATTTGGGAAGTTGGTAAATTATTGGGTTTATCTGTAAATGAAGATGATGGTTCCATTATTCAACGTATTGCTGGTTTAGAAAGACAGGATTGGGGGAGCTTCATCAAGATTGATACAAAAGGGCTTTGTCGATTTAAAGGTTCTAATGAATTTGGTCTTATTTACAAGCTTTATCAATACCACAGTTAAGGAAGTTGGCAAAAGGTATTTTTAAAGTTGTGTTTGAAGGATATGATAGTGGATATGAGGTTAATATTGGGAGTTTTAGCGTTTTACTATTTGTATGCTTTTGGGATATGGAAGTGGCTTTATGGTGGCTGTTAACTGCAGTAAAAAGAATCATCGACCATGAAAGTTGTTGTCTATATTTTCTGAAATTGTGATGCTTTGGAGATCAATTGGAACATCCAGTCTGACGAAAATTTTTTAAAAATCTGAATGATGTGGTAGATGTCATGGCAAAGGTAGGAGGATAGAGATTTTTTTTTTTGTAAGACATGGTGGTGATTTTGTTCTGTAAGGATAGTGGTCTTTGCTCCCATTATTTGTTTACCGACCATGGTAGTGTTTTTTTTTTTTTTTCATTTTTGTTTAGATGTAATGATATCTTCATTTTAGATGGAAGTCTTTCATTAGAATTGTGCTAGATGGTTTTTATGTTGTTTCTGGTATGGCTTTAACTATGTTTCTTGGTAAGGTTCTTGTATTTCACTTATGATGGTCTTTTGATCTCTAATAAAAATATGGCTTAGCAAAAACAATTACGTAACTATAGCTTTTTATTTCGTAAAAGAACAGTTAAATTCTCTAATTTGACAACAAAAAAGGGTAAAGTAGCACTTATTTTTATTGCATATAATAAAAAAAAAAAAAAGAGCATATAATTTATAATTATTATAGTATAATTAATTAATTATAATTTAAAATTGTGTGAGATTTATCAAAATTTTATATGTAACCCATATTTATAAATGATGATCCCTATATAATATTTTATTATGATTAGCAAATAATTATAATATTATAGTAAAAAAATTATAACTGAAATGCTCCAAATAAAAAGTTAGATAACTTTAGACAATCTATACATTATATTAGAACAATCCTGTGATAAAAGCATGGTAGTTGGGGACGAATTGGAAATTGACACGTGGTTGGATAAGTGAAGAATGGTTATCTTTTAATTTTGAATGTTGATTTTTTTAGGAACAGAGTACAACTAAGAAAATCATTAATACTATATTTTAAAACAACGGTTTTTGTTTTTTTTTTTTTTGAAATTGGTTTTTGTTAAATATAATTAATCATAAGTTTGGTCCACAATTATCATATAAACTTTACTCATTTGTCTTAAAAGAATGGGTTGAGTAAAAAATAATATAGGCTAAGTAAACGTATGAGCCCTAATTTTTGTATTAAAAGAGTGGACTTAATATATAATGTTATAATAATTTTAATCTAATTTTAAATTCCATATTTAAATTTATTATTTATATGTAATATAATAATGCTCAAATTAAAATTACCTTATCCATTCAATAAAAAATTTTATATTTTAGAAGATTTAAATTTAATATTTTATTATAATATCACATCTTGTTAATAAATAATAAAATTATATTAATTTTAATACAATATTACATGTTGTTAATAAATAATAAATTTAGAAAAACTATAAAATGAATTGACCTAATGTCTTTAAGTAATAATAGAAATTACAAAATGGATCAGTTACAATTTAATGAAACCTTAAATCAGTGTTAAAAGAAAAATATTTGGGGGAACAAACACTAAAAGGTTTTTAATTTGGTTTTATTGACATGGAAAGACTCTTTCTTTCCTACTTCAAATCAAATAATCATTACAATACAGGTTTTAATTATAATTTTTTATGTGAGTTTCTATTTTAGAATGCACGTTTTTACATGTACTTTATTATATCATATTTTCATTTCTAGAATCTCTATCTCTTTTCTACTTCTCATTTTTCTTTCTTTCATTTTTTTTCTTCTTGCTATTCAGGTTGTTTAATTTTTTTGTTTTTCAAGTTTCAAATGTTTTAGCTTCCTTTTTATCATTTATATATAAAACTAAACAAATATACATCATCTTTTATTGTTTTCAATATACAGAATATCAAAATACAACATTCATTTTAATTCCATGCGGTGGGAAAAAATGGATAATTAACAAATAGCTCCATTGATCAATTCTTTCCTCCCATCAAATTTTATTGTATGTGACTAGCATATTTCATTATTTTAACAACTTATTAAGAGCTAATCAAATATATTCATATGCATCTTGTATGATTACAGTTTATAAACTTTTGAGTATACCTATAGAATCTGAATATTATTGTTTTTTACAACTTCGTTACGATAAAAATCAAATATATTCATTTGAATCTTATTTAATTTATCCCTCATAATGAAAATTGGAATTTCACAATCCTTTTAATATATACTTAACAGTTTTAATCAATTTAATTTTTATGAAACATTTCACATATAGCCAATAAAACTAGCCCACGCGGATACACACTATTAAGAAATATGAAAGTAATAAAATACATTGTTAAATTTTTTATTACACAAAATATAAATTTTAAATATTTGCAGATGAATAAATATAAAAATATAAAATATAATAATACTACTTTAAGTTAGATGTAACAATAAATTAAGTCGGTATTAAATTAATATGGGAGTAACAATGTACGTTAATATTGCTTTTTATCACATTATAAACCAAATCAAATAGTTTTATTGTATATAATTGCAATGGGATAATAACTAATAGCCATATTACATCACAAGTTTTGGGTACCTATCCTTTTTCCACATTGGCCAACTTTGTAGACTTAGCTAGTGGTGCGCATCCCAGTTAGGGGCATGATTCCATTATAAAATGTTTTTTAAAAATTTTAAAATATTTTCTAATCGATGGAAATTTCGATTTTCAGGTTTGGTTTTTAAATTCTTTTGAGTCTTTGTTTTGCGTTCCCTGGTTTAATTGGAAACAGTATTTGATTTTAATAAGATAAAAGAGGTTTGAAAAGACATTTCTCAAGCCTTTCAATGACACTTCATTTTTTTAACAGTTTTCATAATTTTATGATTATTTGTTTTGTAATCCTAAACTAAACTTTTTTGAAACTAAAGTAAACAATTTTAAACATAAAAGTAATGAAATGTTTATAATGAAATTACCTGATAGACTATTATTTGCAAGACTAATTGCCTTCAAAGAAGAAATGTTGAAGATGGAATGTGGAATCAACCCACTTAAGCGCATAAATGATGCAGCTAATGTCTCCAATGAAATAAGATTCCCAATCTCCCATGGAATTTCACCTACAAAGGAACAACAACTTAGTATTATAAAACTATCCACTTTCTAAACATTCCAATAATATTGAGGTTATTTAAAATGCAATAAAAGTCAATTACACAATAAATTCTTAATTTCTTTGATGTTTAAAATATGAAGGAAAACTTAATTTCTTCAAATTCCAAAAGTTTGAGTCAAAATGAGAAAAGCATAAAAGAAAATCAAATGTGATTATTTTCATGTTGATCATTCTTTTAATTTTTATTTTTTAGTTATTTTTTTAATATAATTAATAAAAAGTATCAATCAATTGAAATTTAAATAATCCAATGCAAAAACTTACCTTCTAAATCATTATGACTTAGATATATCTCTTTAAGTTTGGTTAAATTTCCTATACTTCTTGGAATGTGGCCTTAAAATTCATTGTCAGAAATATCAAGCACCTGAAGTTTTGAGAAGAGTATAACACATATTATATGTAATACTGCAAGAGAGACTGTTGCTATGGAGATAAATTTCTTTTAAAGAAGAAAGGTTATAGATGGAAGCTGGGATTGGACCAACAAGCCTCAGATTTGGGGCAGAAAATATCTCCAAGCTCAAATGATTTCCAATTTTCGAAGGGATTTCACCCGTGAACATAAAGAAACCAAGTTACAAGAGTTCATTCATAATGAAACTATTTGCTTGACATTACATTCATAATGAAACTATTAAAGTAGAATAAAAGCTATGTTTTTTTTTTTTTGCTTGGCATTGCATTCATAATGAAACTATTTGTCCAAATTTTATGAGATTATGGATTAAAATAATTAATTTAATTTTCATCTCAAACATTATCGTCAAAAGATAAATATATATATATATATCTGTATATATAAAGTAGAATAAAAACGTTTTTTTGCTTGGCATGACATTGATAATGAAACTATTTGCTCCAAAGTTTATGGATGTAAAATAAATAATTTAATTCTCGTTCCAAACATTATCTTCAAAAGATGTTTTTTTTTTTTTTGGCATCTTTAGCAGGAAATCAAAAAGCTATTTCATTAGCATAAATGTTTAATTGGTCCAGCAATCTTGCTTTTTGCACAAGCGGATCTTAATGTTGGTGAGTTGGACCAGAAAATAAGATATAAACTGTTATAATATGAGCAAGATCCAAGGCAAAATCATACCCAGACATGTTTTAGAGAAATGTTAAAATTTCAACGCTTCTTAGGATAAACCACATTGGTTTATTCTGTATTAATTAGGACATAATATTATCATTTTACAGTTTTATTGGTGCTATTGGTTATATCATTGAACAAGGATTTTACCATGGTTATTGATAATGTACCCATACTCATCGTATTAGCTAATATATATCAGTTTTGAATCACAACACATAATATTATTGTTTTATTTGATCTTTGCATCAGCCTGTATGTATCCAACGCACTAGTCCGTCTCAGTCATACAAGTAAAAAATGATATTTTGATTGATATAAAATTTTACCTCTTATTTTATCCTGTTTAAACCTTTTTATTGTTCTGGCTCTTTTAATCAATTTTTAATTCTTTTGCTCTCATCATTATTTTTATTTTTTCATGATTAGATCCAAAAATTAAATGTTTCCATTAAATTAAACTATTAAATTTCTTTAATGATAATGTATTATATACTTATTATTTTTATAGTTGTTTCATTTATTTAGAATTTTGGGAGTTAAATATTTAGAAATTTATAGTAGTAAGATTTTTAAAACTTGTAATTGCATATGAATATGTATATAATACAAGTGCATTTGTGTGTGTGTGTATGTATATATATATATATATATATATATATATTTGATAGACAAATATTACATAATACCGATGAATCTAAAACTATACAGTAAAATAATTTAATTTCAGAATAAAATCTGTGCTCTCAAGGGTGTATTTCCCATTTATATTGTTTTGAGGAATAAAACTGCTCATGTTTTAGTGAAAAGTGCTTTCATCAAATAACAATTTCCTCTTTTCTTGTTGGATTATAAACGAACAACCAAATAACAGAAAAGGAAAAGAAAAAACTAAAAAGACATAAATTCTTAACAGTTGAACAACGGGATGAAATTAAAGCAATAACTTCATTCACTTCTTTCTCTGATTGACCATCATTTCTTTTAACCAAATACTCAAATAATAGTACTGCAAAATTAAGTGACCAAATGGATAATTTATCCAAAAAAAAAAAAAAAAACGAAATCCGATGGGTAATGTCAAATGTGCTACAGCCCTTGTTATGAGGGAGGCATTAACGCCAACTAATTTATTTTAGGCATTTGTCCAAGCATTTCAAGGAAAAGAGATAGTTTCCTTATGGTTTTTTGTTTTCTTTTTCCTAAATATAAGATACTCATGGAATACTAAAGATTTTCAGCCATGAAACTTGACCGGAGAAAATAACATGAGTTTCATAGTTACTATTAATAGTAAGCAGTTTTAATTTGATACCAATAATTAAATTAAATTTAGCTCTTACTTTCAAAAATATAAAAGTAATTCTTTTACAATAATTTCAAATTATAAATTAAAGAAAGTTTATTTTGATAAAAGCTTCAATGTTGATAAGAAAATAAATAAAATTAGTCATATTTTAATTTAACAAGAAAATCATTAATTATAAATAAAATATCTATGATAATAAATTATCAAAGATATATATGTTGTTCACTATTTACGCTTTCCAATTTCGTTCTTTTATATAAATAAGATAAAAATGTTTTAATTTTTACTACTGCATTTAATCACTTTTAAAGTTTATATTTTTTATATATAGAAGATATTTAAAATTTTTACTATTTTCTTCTATTTCTTGGCACCTTTTGATTAAATAAAAGCAAGAAAAAACGAACAACCAATTAGAAGGAGTTTTAATTAACTGTGTTGGAGTCTTGGTTAAAGCAAAGCTATTTTTAGTAGCATAAATTAGGGAGTTTTAGCTGGAATCATGTTTCACTTAATACAAAAATTAATTAATGATCAATCGAAAGAAAATTATCAAAGAAAAAACAAAGAGCTTACCTTCCAAATTATTTCCATCCAAGCTTAGCACTTTGAGCCTCGTTAAATTTCCAATACTCCTTGGAATGCTGCCACTGAATCTGTTAAAGTTTAATGTTAAAATTTGAAGACACCTGCATTCATCTATACTTGATGGAATTTGACCAGAAAACTCGTTTAAGGTCAAGTAAAATCTCTCAAGATTTGGAAGATGGCGACATATATCTTCAGGTAAACTGCCAGATAGACTGTTAGACGTAAGAGAAATCATGTGTAGGGAGGAAATGTTATAAATGACTGAAGGGACAGAACCAGAAAGTTGGTTAAATGCCAGACGAAGTATCCTTAGATTTAGAAGATTACTTATCTCGGGTGGAATGTGTCCTTGAACGAGATTCTGCCTCAAGTCCAAGATTTCCAAGTTGGACATTTGAGCTAGTGATTGAGGGATTGTACCTGTCAAATTGTTGCTCCAGAGGCTCAAATATAAAACTTTATTTAATCTCCCAAACCATGAAGGAATTTCCCCACTAAGAAAATTGAAGCTTAATTCTATGAGTCTCAGACGACTTAATTGTCCCAACTCTCTCGGTAAAAGGCCATGAAAATTGTTGTGACTCAAATTAAGAGATACTAAGAATGAGAGATTTCCCAAATGTGGTGGGACAGTTCCTATAAGATTCATGTTTGGAAGATTCAAAGAGTTGACTCTCCTATGCTTAGAAGCGCAAGAGACACCAACCCAATTGCAAACAGAGGTAGTGGTAGTCCAGTTATTGGCTAAGATGTTATGAGGATCAATGATTCGGTGCTTAAATTCGAGAAGAGCATGTTGGTCTGTGGTGAGGTTCCTCACAATCATGGCGTAACTAATCATCAAACAATGAATGAACATTAAAGCTGATGAAAGAAAATGGAATTTTCTCATGTTCATGGCTGTGGGAATTGATGAAAATGTAGGATGGTTTGAGGAAGTCTGCTCAAAATAATACTTAAATATGGAATCAACTAGTCAACATGACTGAGACTTCGACAGGAAAGTCGTTGGATGGTCCTCGTCTTCACAATAAATAAACGAGCGAAGCTTTTTATTTTGAAATTAATTTATCTTTTAGCATATATTTTTTTTTTCTATCTCCTTTCTTCTTATTCCTTGTCTTGTGCACTTTATTAGGCCCCGTGACTCCACGTGTTACGCGAGAGTGTTGCAAAATAGTAATGCTGCATCTCTCTTCTTGGAGAAAATATAGTAATCTATGTTATTTTTAAACCAGATGGAATCAATTTAATTAATGAAATCACTTAAATTTAAGATATAATAATAATAATAATAATAATAATAATAATAATAATAATAATAATAATATGTAGGTACAGATACTTATTTTTTAAATTTGTTTTTGTAAAAAAAAAAAAAAAACTACACATCCAATACATCAAGCAACATCTTTTATTAGCGAACTTCCTTTTTTATCAAAATATTTACTTCTTCACTCACATATCAGGTGTGTCAAAATCTAATAAAATAAAATAAAATAAATTATTAAATTATTTTTATAAAATAAAATATTACTATTGTCTATTTGTAATGTGAGTTGTAGTATTCAATAAAAATATGCCAAGTAAAAATTTCTCCTATATATAGCATAGTAGATGAGCCCAATAGTTAATGCTATTGAAATTATTTAAAAAATGGAAATACTTCCAAGTTTGGAAACTTACTCGCTTTAGGATCGTGTTTCAATTCGGTTGTTATTTTATTATTTTGTTATTACTTAAACACTCGAGATATAAATGTCAATTATATGTAATAATAATATTTTAATCATTCTTTTATAAATAATCAACTTATACATAAATTAGTAAACAAAATCTACTTCTAATAATAATCCCAAATTAATATTTAATTAATATCAATGCACCCTAAAAATTTGGCAAATGAATTACTCAAATAAGCATAGAGATAAATTAAATTATAAAAATTTAAATGAACACATCAAATAAATAAAAACATAAAGCATAATTTTATATTTATAATAAGAAAAAAAACCATAATAAGAGCTCAAACATAATGAAAATTTTATTCAACATCTTAAAATAAGTCCAAAATACAACTCCCAATTTCTCTCATAAAATGTCAAAAGTACCCATAAAAATTGAATTAAATCTTTCTATGACCCTTATGAACATGTGTCATCACCACATCTATCTGTAACTAATTTTTAATTTATAATGAAAGGTGTTAAATCGATTATAATTTTGTAAAAAAAATTTTCTAAGGTAATAATGATGATAATGTTGTTAGGATACAATACAATCTAAATTTTTTTTGCTAAATAAATTTAAAGTTATTTTTAAACTAAAATTGTGAATATATATATATATATATATATATATATATACACACACACACTAATGGTAACGTGATTGAGTTGAGTTAACCAATTGGTAAATTTACATTAAATCCAAAGTTAAAATAGAATAACAATATAAATTTAAGATTTTAAAAAAATTTTTTAATCTTATTCAAAAAAAGCTACCCACCCATAAAGTAACATCCTATAAAAAATTAATTTTTAATGAATTTTCTTTGCCCCATATGAGTATATTGAAATCTGGTACTTCTATTAAATTTTTTATTGATACGGTCCAAAATAGATTTAGTAATTCATATATTTGTATTATGTCAATATCATTATATACATATAAAATATGAAAATTTTCATATCAAATTCATGTTGATAAATCAAATATAAAATACTTTTTTTTGTTGTTGTCAAATCCACATAGAATTTTTGTCAAAACTTTAAATAATATCACTTTCACATTTTTTTTCATATAATTTTAATCTCATGTGATCGTAATATTATCATATATATATATATATATATATATATATTGCAAATGATTCCACCTAATGCAAGCAATTCTCTCTCCAATTGACCCTGACTAAGAAATTTTGAAGTCAGAAATTGACCCTGACTAAGAAATTTTGAAGTCAGAAAAGCAATTGACTTTGTTGCAAGAGCAAGGATTAATCTAAAACTTACCAAATCAAAGCAACCACTATTTTTTCTTTTAAATCAAAGCAACCACTATTATTATTACGATATTAACATGTGAATTTCTATGGTTTCCAAAAACAATAAGGTCTTCTTCTAACTGCGTTCCGATCTTTTAATATTATATGTTGAATTTGATTACTTTATTATCATACTTGGGTTGTTAAATAATTGAGCCTGGGTGTAAAACCTCCTAATTTGTAACCACTACTTTTTTAAGGTAAGGAAAATTAAAAGTATTTATTACCTAAATAGGCCATTTTTAAATTATTTTTTCTTTTCAAAGAGTTTTTTTTTTAATGAAATGTCAATTTTTATTACTAAACAGGTAGTCCAGTACTTTTATAAATCTTTGGATGAATTTGATATCACCAGGCAATTGATACCAACGGTCTTGGTCTTCACAATAAATAAAATGAGTCAAGCTTTTGATTTTGGGCCCTCTAATTTGCTTTTGATCTCCTTTTACAAAGCATATCTAAAACCAATATATCTTTTTCTCTTTTTCTTTGTATTTATTGGACTTGCATACTTTGTGAGACCCAACTAGTCATTTCTCCTTGACTCCTAGTTTTACGCCATGGGCTTGTATGAAATTGCAGCTAGTCATTCTTTTATATAAATATAAATATAAATTATATATATTTCTCTAAGAAGTATAAATTATATTAGGATAATTGATCATTGATAACATTCAATATTGAAAAAAATAGTTTTAAAATTTTAAAATACAATATCGTACTCAAATTCCAAATAAAAAGTGATCTAATTATTTTTGAAAATTTATTTTCAAATAATGAATTTATAGAATATGAAAATATTAAATTAATATGATAATATCATATGATTTTTCCTTTACTTAACATTCTAGTTAATTTCAGTGGTTAGTAGAATATAAAAAGTTTTCAAATGAATTTTATTTATAATCTTTTCTTTCAAAAATTCATTTTTAGTATTAATTAACGGAATATGAAAAGAATGAAGTTAATATAATAATATTTTAAAACCAAGTTATAAATTAAAATTTCTTTAAAATTTGCTAATATATGGGACCAAATATTTAATGAAATTCTTGTGCATTTTCATTTTACCCTTCAAACAATTCATAAAATTATATAAAAAAAACTATATATTTTTCACATTTATCTTTTTAATTTAGTTCAAAATTTCTCTTGATTTCATTTATTTCAAATTTATCTTGATTTCATTTATTTCAAATCGATAACTTTAAAAATCAATGAAATTTGCTGCCTTGATATCATGTAACTGTTGGCATAAATTTCAATAAAAAAAAGTTAAAAAGATCTTTTTGTTTTTTGCCATATGATCATTGTTTAGGCTCGCTTTTTTTACCACAATTTTTTATTTAATATGTACACAAATTCAAATAAGGATAAAGAGATTTGAGGACACATGGAGTGTCAGTTTCAATTCAACCCTAAGATAAGTTTATGATAGTACCACATATCAAAGCCGTGATTGGTGTAATCCAAAACTGAGCAAGCAATTCTTTTTCCATGAGAGAGACAAAAGAAGTATCAATAAAGTTATTTTATTCTTCACATACATAAAAGCAAATAAAGGAATCTAGTCAGAAAAGCTAAGCACATGCTCTAAGTGCTAGGCCTTGAATCAATCCAAGTCATCTTGCTTTCGACAAACATCAAGCAGGCTAAGAAATTTTAAGTCAGAAAAGCTACTGATCGTTTTCTAAATGCAAGGATCAATCAAGTTGTCTTGGTTTCACAAAATTTTAAGTCAGGAACGCTAATGATTTTTTTCTAAACGCAAGGATCAATCAATTGTCTTGGTTTCACACACATCAAGGCAAACTAAGAAATTTTAGGTCAGGAAAGCTAATGATCGTTTTCTAAACGCAAGGATCAATCAAGTTGTCTTGGTTTCACACACATCAAGGCAGACTAAGAAATTTTAAGTCAGGAAAGCTAATGATCGTTTTATAAACGCAAGGATCAATCAATTTGTCTTGGTTTCACACACATCAAGGTAGACTAAGAAATTTTACGTGAAGAATTAAAGCTATCAAATGCAAGGATCAATCAAGAGGTCTTGGTTTCACAAACGTCAAAACAAACAGAGAAATTTCAAGTCAGGAAAGCTAATGATCATTTTCTAAACGCGAGGATCAATGAAGTGATATTGATTTTACACACGTCAAAGCAGACCAAGAAATTTTAGGTGAAGAATTCAAGCTACCAGTTGCCAGGATCAATCAGTCTTCTTGCTTTTCTCTTGCATCAAATCAAATCATTCTGTTATCATACATCGGATAGGTAATTAAATAATTGAGATTGGGTTTAAAAGCTTCTAATTTGTAATTTTTTTTCTTAAGATAAGGTAAATTAAAATCTTTATTGTCAAAGAGATAGTAGTTTTAAATTTTTTTCTTTAAAAGGTGTATTTTTTTATATATATAAAAGATGTCACAACTTAAATATTGAGAAAAAAATATAAGTATTGAAATTTAAATTTCAGATATCTTAGATGCAATCTCTTAAGGATAATTACATGAACCAAATGAATTAAACTTTTAAATTATATTGATTGGGCAACTCATTCGAGCCCGAAAGCCCTTCCTAATTTTGGGAAGGCTTAGACATGAATTTTAGGTTCTTAAATGGGCCTAAACTTGAATTTTAGACCCGTTTAAAAACTTGTACTAGGCCATGGACATAAAGTTTAAAGTTCGAATCCGATTAGGCCTAAATAATTATTATATACTTTTTATATTTATATTACATAAAAATATATAATATATACGTTAATATCCTATGTCTAT